TCAATTTGTATTTGCTATTTAAACACCGTCCGAGCCTAACATTTATGTAGGTGAATAATCTTAACAATATGATAATATGATTGATGATATTATATTTGATTACTTGATTACTTTGATTTTGTTATATTATTTATATTGTTTAGATGTGCGACACATATGCATGTCTGGATTGTATATGTGGGTTTTTAAGGTTTTACCTTATTAACTTAAATCAATAATACTTTTTAAATACAAATGTTTTTATTTATATTATTAATGTATAGTAACAATAATTAACTCTTGTATTCATTGCCTTTATTAATAAACTTATTTTAATTTAATACTTTTTCTTTGCTTTTTAAATATCTTTTTAATTGCTCAAGTACTTACGTATCCAGAACCGTATTCACAACAAAAAGGGGTCCTAACTTAATTTCTTTAAACTAGACGATCACGTGTTTTGGCCAAAGGTAGTTTTTTGTGGTTTTAATATTCTTTTTAATTATTTAAATGTGTCCCCCCTTGCCCCCGTTCGTTACACCATATACCAAAAATAATCGCAAAGCGAAAAAAATGTTGTGTTTTTAGTTAATGTCGCCAACTAACCTTGCAATAAAAACAACCAATAAATTCCAACTAAAATGTAACGATTTACAACTAACTTGCGTTATCTTTGACACGCTTTTAGTATTGAATATCCATGTGTGGGACAAAAGGAACAGATAGGACAAAAATTGTAACTCTAATATAAATTTATTTAGTTTTATATGTTATACATCTATAGATATAATATATTGGATAAATATTAGAAATTTAATATTTAAGGGACAATTTGTATCTTTTTTATACATTTTAATATGTCAGCAACTTTTATAAATCAAGCTTTGTGAAAGGTGATTCAGATTGTTTTTAGTTTCTTGGTATTTTATGTCAAAAATTAAATAAAGCTTGGATATTGATACCGCCTAAAATATGCATCCAAAGATAATATAAAAGTTAATTTAAGTAATATTTAAAATAAACGATTTTATTCTAAAATAAACCTACCTATAAAAAATTGAAGGTTTGGCAATTTAATGGCTTATCAAATATTAGTAATTCTTTCGGCATACGGATATAAGAGTTGAAAGTAATATAAGTTAGCATGAAAAAACTCCTATAAATATCACATTTTTATTAATCGAATATAACAAGCACTCATAACTTGTTTGTTACGAGACGGTCTTCTATAAGCAATGAAAAAATAACATATAATACAATTATATTGCTAGTTATAACTTGTGTTTCCTAATCATATTATAATTAAATAACAAAACATTTAAACTTTTTTAAAAATTATGTGATAAGGAAGAGCTATTTCAGTAGAAGCGTGTCGGTTGTACAAATTAAATAATAATGGTAAGAATGTATAAGGTGCACCAAGTATCCTTCTATGCAGGGCCGTTTTAAGCACCCGGGCAACCGGGCGACCATTTTTTGGGGGCGGCTGTTTAAGGAGCAGCCATTTTTTGGGCCTTTTTTTTCTGTGGCCATTAAAAAAATCAAAATAAAATTGCCACTACATGATTTATTTGCCTACAATTTTTTGTATGTTTATAATGAGTTTTAAATAGAAGTGCGGCTTTCTTAAATCTTAAAAGAAAGCTGCACTCGCGTAATCCTAATCAATATCGTGAAGAAAATATTTTTTTTGTTTTTTATTTTCTGCCTACGGACTTGCATTATTTTTTTTAACTAAACCACCATATGAATCGGATATATTGTTTATCTAGCTTTAATTTGTTTTTTTGTAGGCTTTGATATGACCATTTCTCTCTGAGCTATCGGGCTTTGAGGGATCATTTTTCCTTTGATCATCGATATCTCAGAAACCAATAGTCGCACAAAAAATTGGAGGTCGGTTTTAGAAACTTGAATAAACGCCCTGCAAGGTTCGATTAGTAATGTTTTTTTCAAAACAATTTTTTTTCCATTCGTAACATGATTTTGAAAAATTGTGAAAAATGAGGTTGGGGGGTTTTTGGGAAAATCACACGCGGAATGGAAATTATTAAAAAAAAGTCTATGGTTAAGGGTGCCTTTTATAGTTCAATATACCCTCAAAAACACTAGCAAGTTTCAATTCAATCCATCCAGCCGTTTTTTTTGTTTCATTCGATTGAATTTTTAAAAAAATAAAATTACGTTTTTTTACTCTTAAACGATCATATATTATAATCTCTAATAAAATTTAAAAAAAAAATTATCTCCACTTTTTTCACATTTTTATACCAAACGGCATTTAAAGTTATGAATTTTTTACAAAATTGCAAAAAAAATTCAATTTAAATTCAAATTCAAATGATCCTTTTTCATTTAAAACCCGATAGCTCAGCAATAAATGGTCGGATCAAGGCCTACAAAAAAAAACAGATTAAAGCTGGATAAACAACCTATGGTGGTTTAGTTAAAAAAAAAATAATGCAAGTCCGTACACAGAAAATAAAAAACACGATATTCATTAGGATTGCGCGATACTTGTTGCTTGGAAAAATTTTTCGTCTTAAGGCCCAAAAATTAGAGACTTGAAGCCTCAAATTGATTTTTTTTTAAACTTCTATACGGCCATTTTTAACAAAATTTGAAAAATCGCTAAAAATTTGGAATAAATTTTTGATCCTTTAACTTTTTCCACTAGTGTATATATTATAAACAAGTTATGTTGGGTTTTTTCAGCCATTTTCTCGAAAATGGTATTTTTGCATAAAAAGATTTCTATATTGTACATAGAACCTTTTTATGCAAAAATTTCATTTTTGAGATAATGGCAGATAGAACCATATTAAACCAAGGTAGCGATATGTAAAATAAAATATTTTATTTATATATTTATTTGTTATATTTAATATATTTTTTGTTATGTTGAGTTTTTAAGTTTACTTTAATTTTTATTTTTACTTTTTATTAAATGTTTCCAAATATTTGTAGTGTATTTTTTATAGCGGTGTATGTCGAGAGGGCGGCCGTTTCAAGTTTGCCCGGAGCGGCCAAAACCTTAGAGACGGCCCTGTTTCTATGTATCTGTTTTATTTGAAGAGTGTATTAATAATTAATACAATTATTATAACTTAAAAATTGAAAAAATAAATCAGCGGTTCTCAAATAATTTCAAATAAACTGATATAAAACCAAATATTATGATATATTCGTTATTCCTAGAAATTAAAAAAAAAGTAATTTTACATGTAAACTTACACATTTATCTACATTTATCTACATTTTTTTCGCCTACTGGATTTTGAGATACCACCACCATCCTTTGTTTTACATATGGCCACCATATTGGAACTTCACAGGGTTAGAAAAAAATTCAAGGAATCCAACGATGTAAACTACATAAGTTATGGCAATGTTAACCCAAAACGTGCACGTTACCATGGTAGCGAAGAAATTAAATGAAAATGGTTATTAATGTGTATGTTTACATGTAAAACTTACTTTGTTACAAAATTTACAGGAATAAAAAGGTATAACGATTTTTTGTTTTAAAAGTTTTTTAGTTTTTTAAATACTTTGAGAACCGCTAGCTTTTTTTGAATTTAAATATTTCATGTTAATAGGCTTTTCTCTAATTAAACGGACCTTGTAGCTCTTCAATAAAACACGTTGGTACATTTGGCGTTTTCAACTTAAAAAATATATAATCTTCCAAACATTTTTTTTTAAATAGTGATATTATTAGCTTTACTTTGTAAGAAAAATTAAAATCGCGTATGTAGCCGTTGTGGAGATATACACTTAAATGTATTTTTTTTATAAATTAATGCGCAACAATAAGCTTAACATGTGTTCTAGTGAAAATGACCACAGCAATTCGCTATATATATATATATATATAGGTATGTATATATATATATATAAATATATATATACCTATATATATTGATGGTTTTCCGGGATCTGCTCCGAGTTGTCAGTTTTTGGTTCTTAAAGGAACCGTATGTCTGACGACGTTTCGGTACAATCTCATGTACCATCTTCAGGTCTTATCTGCTGGGCTGCTGTTGCTGCTCTGCTGCAAGTTCATACATATAACGCCAATGGAAATCTAAAGCAGCAGAGCAACAACGCAGCCCAGCAGATAAGAGGGTACATGAGATTGTACCGAAACTTCGTCAGACATACGGTTCTTTTAAGAACCATAAACCGACAACACAGAGCAGATGCCGGAAAACCATCAATACATATAACGCCCGTGAAAACCTAAAGCAGAACATTGATATCGTTAATTTGCGTGGCGTTTTGGTGGTTGTAAGAGCTGGTTTTTATGCATTTGGTAGTCTCTGTGTATCGTCTCTTGTGCTGAGGTTTCTTGGTCCTGTGTTCGATGCTAGCCAAGACCCTTGTTTTTTCAAAGTCAATTTCATGGGAAGTTTTTTGGACGTATTCAGCTAAGAAAGATGTTTTAAGACTGCGTTTCGATGTTCTTCACGTCTAACGTTGATACGTCTATTGGTCTGCCCAACGTAGCTTCCGTCACAATTATTACAAGAAGTTTTGTACACCCCTTGTGCCTCTAACTCTATTTTGGTTTGGCGTTTGGAAGTATTTGACCGATCTTTCTTGTGGCAGTAAATGTTATGTTTTTTGAGAACTTTGCCTATTCTCTCGGTTGTCCCTTTCACGTAGGGAAGAAAGGTCTTCGAAGTTGGTTTGTTGTTCTCGTCCTCTGTGGTATTTAACCGGCGTCGTGGTCTAAGAGCCTTTTTGATGATGGTTTTGGAGAATCCGTTTTGCTGTAGCGTCGTTTGGAATTTCAGGTCTTCTTGTTTCTTGTGGTCATCATCCGCCAGCCTTTCGTGTGACAAGTGTCGGTCGCCATATTGGATTTAGTATGACAGCACTCAGCATATCATTTTCTATTCGTCTAACCCTTTTATTTGATACCCATCTTGGAGCGGCGGCAATTTTCAATTACTTTATAATTGTAACAATAGACTACATTAAAAAATAGACAATAGACTACATTAAAAAATACTTACGTGTGGGATTCTTATAAAATTTAACTGAGAAGCTGAAACTGGTCCCTCTAGCAGGCATTCTGTATTGAATAAGGGCAGCATTTTGCGAGCTTAAAAACCGTGTTTTAATTTTTCTTTGTCCGCAAATTGTTGTTTCCCTTGGTTTAATTCTATTATCGTCAAATGTTGGGAAAAATTCTCCATTTAGTTCCCAACCGTCCACGACCTAAAATAAAGTTTAAAATTTGTATAAATTATAATAAATATTATATATTTCCATTTTAATGCATTTATAATTTGGTATTATTTTGCAATTAAATTAATTAATTTTATTTTAATGTTTAAACTTTCTGAAGTTTTTGATATTTATAATTGAAAAAACATTCTAAATTAATAAATTAAAATGTTACAAAAGTTTTATAAATTACTTTAGCTCATATTTAATAATAAGCTCGGAAATTAATGTTTGTTTGTCAACAAGTTAATAATTGAAAATAATAGTTTGTAATTCATGTATTATATATTTTATTATATAATATTATATATTATTATATATATTATATACAGGGTGAATCGGAAGGATCGCACTTAACTCTAGGACTGCATTCTACACATCAAAATAATAAAAAAAAACTCAACTGTTCTTATCCGATTCCTATTAAATAGGAATCGGATAAGAACAGTTGAGTTTTTTTGTTTTCAAGTTATAGCGAAATTAAAAAAAAATTAAAATTAAAAAAATAAATTATTATCTAATGTTCTTTGATAAACTATGGAAACAAAGTTTTTGTTTCCATAGTTATAGGTACATATTGTTTACATTTAAAAGGCCTAACTGTCAGCGTCAGTGGTATTTTTGTAATTTTTCAGTTTAATTTTTTTTTAAATGCCAAAAGTTTATTCAAATTTAGAGTATGCTAATATGGTTTTTGTTTATGGCTTTTGTAATGGCAATGCCACAGCTGCTGAATATCGGCTGAATATCGGCGACGTTTTCCAGTTTTTAACAAACTTTGCGAAACTGGAACTCTTCCAAGTGCTAAAATAACATCTGAAAAAGCTGATCTAGAAACTTTAGAAAAAGTGAAAAATATTTTGGATCTAGTGGAAGAAGATGCAACGACCAGCACCAGAAGAATCGCTACTCAATTGGACATTTGACAAAAACGGTTAATACACACACTTCACGAGCAAGGCTTATACCTATACCATTTACAAAGAGTACAGTTTCTACACCCGGAAGATTATGCTAAACGTGTGGAATTTTGTCCGTGGGTAACTAACAATCGTAGAGTTGTATCGCGTATACTTTTTACTGATGAAGCAATATTTACCCGTCTCACGTATGGTCTGACGAAAATCCCCATGCTATAGTCGAAACCAATTTTCAGCACAGGTTTTCAGTAAATGTGTGGTGTGCTTTGATTGCTGGGTATTTAATTGGCCCCTTTATCATGGAGAATCGCCTCACAGGGGAACACTACCTTAATTTTTTAATAAATGAGTTGACAGAATTACTAGAGAATGTCCCTTTAAACGTAAGAAGGCGAATGTACTATTAGCATGTTGGAGCCCCTGCTCGTGAGGTCAAGCAACACTTGGATGAAATGTTTTCAGAGCGTTGGATTGGTCGCGGAGGTCCAATTAGTTGGCCTCCAAGAAGTCCAGATCTAACACCACTAGATTTTTGTTTATGGGGTTGGTTTAAAACAGAAGTTTACAAAGTTAAAGTAATTAATCGAGAGGCACTAATTCAACGAATAATTAATACTGGCGCAGTTCTTAAAGAAAAACAAGTTAATAGGACAAGCAACAGGCGCTGTTCGCAGACGTAGCAGAGCATGTTTAGAACTCAATGAGGGTATTTTTGAACACCTTATAAAAAGTCATAACTATTAAACAAATGTTACCGTTTTATTTTATTTATTTTTTAATTACGCTATAACTTCAAAACAAATGAGAATCGAATAAGAACATTTGAGTTTTTTAATTATTTTAATGTGTAGAATGCAGTCCCAGAGTTCGGTGCGATCCTTCCGATTCACCCTGTATATTATAATATATATAATAATCCTCTTTATTTCATAAAAATTACAAATACATTAAAAAAGTACATTTGCATTTAGAAAATAAATTTCGAGATTTACTAAATATTCGTTTACACAACAAGGTTCAGACTCGACAAGAAATTCAAAAACTTTACATTTAAAACTTTTAAATAAACTTATCTGTATATATTATATACTATATAATTGGGTAGATGATTACATAGCCTAAAACACATATAAAAACTTTTTTTCGTAGCCTACGGAACCGACTTTTATAAAACACATTGGTAGATATAAACACCACAAACAATTAAAACTTTAAACTGTCTAAATTTACCCCTACATGAGGTTATTGAAGATAAACCCAGAATTCCTTTTTGTGTCCTTTTCTGAATAAGAAACACATTTTTTATTATTATTTTCAGCCTGCTTAATTTTATTTATTTAGTATTTTTTTTCGGTAAAGGGTCAATAAGTTGTTATATTTCTTTTTTAAAAACTTATATGCTTCTGCATACCATACCATAACCACTGAGCTTATTACAAGAAGAATATCTTATTTGATTGTACACATTTTTATTCCTTTGTTTTCTTTTGGGTTACTGGTTTTAAAGGGAATGTTTCATAAAAAATAGGCAATATTAGGCATTAATCTCAAACATTAAATTTCTTAACAAAACATATATAATTTTTAAAAAGAATGTATATTTAATCTGGCAAAGCTTATTTTTTTACAGAACACTTGTTGAATTTTAATTTCCATATACAACTCCCTTGGGCTTAAAAAGTATATTTTTAATTAAACACTGTACATACATACAGGAATGTAAATTAATTAAGCGTAGTAAAATTTGCAATAAAAAATATTACCTAATTTTAAAGCAACATCTAACTTTTTTAATAAATTTAATGTTTTATGCCAAAGTAAACGTTCTCGTATTACTAATCAGCTTAAAGATTATTTCCTATATTCGTTTCCAGGATGTGCCATAAAATATTTTATACCTTATTCCCTTTAGATTTTTTAAATTTTCCTAGATTAAGTCCAAGAATGTTTGTTTAAGTTCTTTTGCAATAGAAAATATTCAATATTACAGCCTCTTTTAGGAAATGGTTAAGCTCTACATAACTTAAAAAATGTTGACCGTTTGTCTTATCTTTGAATTTTATGAATTTTATGTAAATCACTTTAATCTAAACGGCAATGCCAATGGGCAAAAAGAATATTTGAGGGGCAGTAAATACAATCAGTAAATTTTCCTACGCAAGTTTAACTGTCTTACAAATTTTCGTTAAAACAATATATTTAGGATAAAAACAACAAAGATGAAATATATGCTCGCCTCCAAAAACATATCCTTTAATGGATTTTGTAGAGCTATAGCTTATACATAAACCATTGTTTACAACATTTAGTTATTAAATGTTGAAAATTCTCATTCGATTTTAGAAATATAAAAATAATTTTCAGAAAAACAGGTTCTTCCAGTTATTCGTATTATCTGTATTATGCGGGGTAAAAAGTAAACAAAAATTGATTTTGCAGAGCTACAAACAATAATAATAATTATTATTTTAATTGAGGCGTCTATTTGCAATACCGACTGCATCCATTTTAAGATAATTTACAAAATCTACAAGAATATTGCCACTCTTAACACAGAAGGATTTTTTTTAATTATTTTGATATAATACCTTTAATGAGATATTACTTTGAGCAAAAATCTAGAAATCTTATACTGATTACTGAAGTATGGATGCGGCCGATTTTGCAGTAAAAATATGGATCTGGCCGATTTTGGAAAAACATAAAATATAGTACGTCTAATAAAAATTAAATATTTTGTATTTATTTTATTTTTAACAATTTAGTTCAAGAAAAGTTTATAAACCAGTTGTATACTATACTTTTTCTAGGACAAATACTTATTTTTATCTTAAAATTATTTAAATTATATGTTTGTATGTAGCGACATCTATAAAACAATAGAATAACCAACTTGGGAATCTTAAATGTCAAATTTTATGTGTAAATCGAAATGAATTCCCTGAAAATTACCGTTTAATCCGATATAGAAGCAGTTTTTTATAGTGAAAGTAAAGAATAGTATATTCTGTAACAAGTTTGAAATATATTCCAAACTTTTAATTTTTATTAGACGTACACCTAAGGGTAATAATGTATTCAGGGATTAAATTAGTGGTAAATGAATTTATTAATTTAATCTCCAAGTTCTTTGTAAGTTCTTTGTGAGTTTTCTCGCCTATTCATTGTTTAACAAATTAATTACTTGCGTGGTTTCTTATAAAATAAGTAGTTATTATTCAACATTTGAACCTAACCTATAAATGATGTGAAAGAATCTTAAGAAATTATTTAATTAAACGCTTGAAATAAATGGTATATAAAACCCGGCGGCGAAAGCTTATTAATTGCCTCGCTGTGTGCAATCGCCTCGGCAGTGAAAAGTATGTTTGGCGATAATACATATGTACTTTCTCTGCCCCGTCTACTTTTTATACTAACCCTCATTTAATCATTACTAGCTGTTACCCGCGACTTCTTTCGCGTTGAATTAGTACTTTACTTTAGCTATGATAAGAAATCAGCCAAAGGTCAAAGTCAAAGTCAACAGTCAAAAAAGTATCCCAAAAGTTTTTTTGAAATATATACAATTTGTATGTAAACAATCTTTTATCAAAAATATTTCCAACAAATAAAAAAAGATAAAGAGGTTTATGTAGAAACAAAATAGTCGAAAATTCAATAGATGTTCTAGATGCTATCGAGACTAATGCGTTTTCAAATAATAGTTATTTATGTGTTTAGCTTAAAGCTTTTGCAAAGCACAGAAAGAAACTGCCTCCAAATGGCATGCAACATAAAACGTACAATTATAATAAGAATAATAAAGTGAGGAATTTTTGTATTGATCCAAACAGGTTTATTAAAGGTAAAAAACTTGGTCTAATTTATTTTTAAGCAATAATTGAGGAGCATCCGTGCAAAACCGGCTATATCCATTTTAATAAAATGTTGGGAAAATGGCAAAAACTCCCCGTTTCCTGGCCTTTACAGATAAAAAAAATGCATCTTGAGTTTTGTGAGATGCATTTTTTTGGGCATCAATTATAATCAATCAGTTAATCTCTATAGTATTGACAATAATAGATCCTC